TATACGATAGTGGTATCCATGGACCCTCAAGGGCTATTATATGGAGGTACCCATGGGTCCTTAACGGCTTTCCTATAAGGGTAACGATAAGTTCTCAGGGCCTATCCTATGAAATGCAAACCCATAAGTGGTCAAAGTCTATGCTGTGGACACATTCATAAGCCCTCACTCTCAAGAACGGGTCAGCAGGTCAACTCCCATGAAATGTGTGTGTCATGCATGTACTAATGAGAATGTCTACACGATAACTGTTGATGACTTTTGTGTACACCCATAGGATTAGTCATGAGGACTTGGAAGTACCCCTGGGATAGCCTTTGAGAACTTATGGATACTGCAATAACATAGGCCTTGAAAGCTTATGGATACTTCGGTAGTATAGATTTAAAGAATTGTGGGTACCCCCTTAGGACAGGCTTGGAAGTCTTATGCATACGTGTACAGAATAGCCCTCCCGAACGCCTGTGTAATGTCAACTGCTGTTATCGGTCCATCGATGTATACCCAGCTATAAGACGATAAGGCGCGAAGGCCAGAATGATTTAAGGCTCCTAGGAGGTAAGGCTATAAGGGTGTAAAGCTACAAGAGGATAAGATTAGAAGGTCTTGGTATACAATACAAAGTGTGTGATTGTCTGTACTGGGTCAACGTTAAAGCATAGATGCGAAACTTTGCAGAGGCAAGAAACAGCCGTGCAGTATGCACAGGCTTTCACTAGTCACTTCTAATCATTCCTAATCACTCTAATCACTCCTAATCACTCCTAATCACCCCCTAATCACTCTAATCACCCCCTAATCACTCCTAATCATCCCTAATCACTTCTAATCACTCCTAATAACCTCTAATCACCCATAATCAACTCCTAATCACTCCTAATCAAATAATCAGCTGTTTTCCCCTTGACTCAAATATATAGTTTTGTACACCATGATGAAAGTTAAAAATGCGGTTTAGAGAGCGCGAACCTACGGCGATGACCGGTTTGCTGCATTTGACAAGCTCATTGATGCTCAGGGTAGTCAGTAATGCCCTTACAACCATCATCACCGTAGGTTCCTGTGACAATATCGGTCATAAAACTGACACTGCTGTCATACTGATCTAGGAAAAAAAACTTTCATATACAATCATACATCGCTATAAATTAAATACTTTTAGGCGTCACCATGTAGTCTCATAATGCCCGTTACTACAGCGGAGACCTACGGTGAGAGACGGTTTCTAGCATTTACAGATTCATCGAGGCTCAGAGTAACCAGCAGTGTCTATCTAGTCACCATCACCGTAGGTTTTCGTCACCCTATTAATTCTATTATTAGCTTTATAGCCATGCACATCTTGGAAAAGATTTTTCATCATCAGTCTTGTCGTACACTCAACTGCCACTGTAAGTTCGCCTATTCGGAAGTTCGCCAACAGTACGCTCACTAGTGGCGAATTTTCTCACGATATTCGTCTATTGGCCAATCTCTAGTATGAAATTCGTCAAAAAATATTTATTTTTGCCTTAGTATGTTCGCCAATGGGCGAATGTCATGGAGAAATTCGCCAATTTTAATCCGTAGAATTACGACTCAACTAAATAATGGATGATAGAATATTTAAGTATTACAGGATGTGGGTGTGTGTGGGCGTAGGTATGAGTATAGGTCAAACGCATATACAACATCCAGACTCGCACCTATACCCACATCCACACCCAGTCACCTACACCCAGACCATTTTTCGTTAGTATATTCGCCAATTAGTAAATCTCTATCATGAAAATCGCCAATTTGGCGAATCTCTAGCATGAAATTCTCCAATAAAATTTTTGTTTCGCCATAGTGTATTCGCCAATGAGCGAAAAGCTACTTGATATTCGCCAGTTGGCGAAAAGGAAGATTGGGGATGGTATAATTCCCCCACTCGGCTATACAGTTTTGACCGTCAACATGAAAGCTAACAATGGAAGTTAGAGAGCAGAAACCTATCGTTATGGCCGATTCAAAGAATTTTATGGACTAGTTGAGGCTCAAGATAACAGATAATGTCCGTCTAGCAGCCACCACCGTAGGCTTTTATTTTTATACCGACCACATCGTTAGCCTGATGATTATATTCGTGCGTAAAAGTGTCTCGTATACGACTACATTCTCAAATCAAGAACACGGTTTCAATCCTCGAGTTTAAGGCGAACATGGCAGGTTAGAATATTAGGAGCCCACTGATATGATCGATTTTGACCATTTTTCAGACACCTGCATGCTTGCATCAATCACTGATGCTGTTACATCGGAGTTTGGCATAAGTTTTCATGGTTCCACTGACCATTTTCTTAATTGAATCACGGTAATCAAGTATGAAAGAAACACTTTATGTGTTATTGTGCCGTCTAGTAAGAAGTATAGCTTCGACTATCGTTATTAATGTTAGTGATGCAACGATGATGATTACGATAGGTATGGTTACGGGTTCACTACGTGAACCATTGGTACGATTATTGCTACAACTAAGAAAACTGCACCTACGATTTCAGGACCAATTATGATAACCATAGGTACAGTTATCAGTCATATAAGGTTTTCATGAAACACAGTATTTTCTAAGACACTAACGAACTCCTGTGAAAGCTAAACAAAGATGATCATGATCAGAAAATCGAAATCTGAGGTCAAATTTTGAAAATGTTTAAGTTGACTTCGTACTCTCAGGAAATGTTTTCTAAGAAGATGCTGATACTTAGTAAAGAGTGACGAAAGTAAATCGGTTTCTAGAGACTCGAATATGATATCAATTTATCACGGCTCTACATTTCAATTATCAATAAAATGATTTCTTGATGAATGCTATAGTTTTCTTAAGTAGTAGAGTCGAGTGCGTCAAGTTGAATTTCCCTTCGTCAGCCCATCGAGGAAATAGTTACTTTCATAATAAACACTCACTTAATCTAAAAACTTCAGTTTAAAATTTTCAAAGACTGACTTTGAATTCAGACTCTCCGGCCCCAGTTTACTTCGCCAACCTTTATAAAAACCTCACTTTCTTAACAATGCTGTTTTTCGCGACACCCGTTTTGATCTAATAACTGTACCTAGGAGGATCGTAGTTGGACCGGTAACTGTAAGTACGGTTATCGCAATCGGACTATCAGCCGTACCTACGATACTCGTAGTTTGGCTACTAGCGGTAGAAACAATTATCGTATTTAGACCGGTATCCGTAGGTATGCTTATCGTAGCTAGATCGGTGGCCGTAGGTATGGCCATATAATCTTGCTGATAGCTATCAATGCGGTATCATAGTTGGACTGGTAACCGTAGATACGTTTATCGTAGTTGCACCAATAGCTTTACTTACGGTAATCGTAGCTAGGCGAGTAACCGTAACTTAGATGATAGTAGTTAGACTGGTAAGTGTACCTGTGGCTATTGTAGTTGGATTGATTACGGTAGTCTCGGTGATGGTAGTTAGATCTGTAACCGTAGGTACAGTGATCTTAGGTGGATCAGTAACCATTGTTACGGTTATCGTGATTGGATCGAAAAACCTAGGTACAATGACTGTAGCTGTACCAGTAACCGTAGGTATGGTTATCGGCTTCGACCGGCGAAATGACCTTCACCGTTGTATTTCTAGTCAATATCACTACCCTCCATCTAGAACTACGAAAATCTGCGATGATGACCGGTTTCCGCTCTTACTCAAACAACATAAGACTCAATGCATCCAGCAGTACTAATATTCCAGTCTCCTTTATGGCTCTTTATAACCTTATCGGCTTGTTTCTCTGCTTTATTCAAAAGTTCTGATTAGTATATCCCAAAATTAATTAGGACGAAGAATTACTTCTTATCAGAAAGTTAAGTGCTCGAGCTTCTGAGATGTATGGTGTAGGAGAGACACCGAAATACAAAAAAGTGACCGGTGAACCGGTGGGCGGTGGCACCGTTAGTGCGGTGGAACGGTGGACGGTGAACCGTCACCGGTGCACCCCTAATGCCAAAAGTCTAATATAATATCGATTAGTCTGCAAAAAATCACCCTTTCTGATAAATTTCTCATTTTCCCGAAAAAATTTCTGATCGTTTTCTGATTTTGAAAAAAAAATTCTGATTTTTAAGTTATTGATCTGGTCACCCTGACCGTGACACATGTTAGGCAAACTAGTCTTATTAGGATTTTTTTATTATGATGTCACCTGAAGTATGATCAAATAGCATAGAAAGAAAGAGCTTTTTTTGCTCTATCATCCTATGTAAAAAGAAATTTGTCTCAACCTTAATATGTGGTAATAAAATATTATTGCCACTACTTTTGGATACCCCTATGTATTTGTGATTCGGTATATTATAGCAATCTTCAATCTTATTGAGAAAAACACAAAATTTCAATGAATGGTCTTTATGCATTCACAATATGAAAATTATAATTAAAATATGAGTCAATAAAATGGAACTTTAGTCTATTTTGTAGTTTTCTACAAAAGACGCATTTTGTCTTTAATGACATTCTCAAAGTATGTTTCTAAATTGAGAGCATAAGTTTGTTCCATCCTTTTAGACCAATTTAATGCTAGCAAACTTTAAATTATATGTACAGAGACATAGAAAATCCTGCTATTAGTCATTTTAGAATTTTATGCATACAAAGAGAGACTTTATTAATTAGGTAAGATAATTTCATAAAACAACCAAAACGAATAAGTTCTGTCGCTTAAAACTAACCGATGACTCATTTGAATTCGTTTTCTTGTTTTACAATGACTCAAAATGATATTTATTCGTTTCGTTCTGTCGTCCATACTGTTGTTTTTGCATATATGACATCACAATATTTTATTCGATTACGAAATCCTAATATTGAAGCTATTTAGATAAGAATTTCAGTGAAGTTGATCAATCTTACGGAACAGAATACTTTTCTAGATCGAGATATTTTTATTAATATTGAACTAACCGAAGAAAAAATGAGCATGATTACAAACAGGGAAGTAAGTGCAAGCAGTATAGTAACTATGAATAGTGTTGGTCAACCGTTTGATTATTATTGTGTATTGGATTTTGAAGCAGTATGTCATCAAGTTAATCCAAATTTAAAAAAACCATCAGCTAATGATATTTGGGAAATAATTGAATTTCCAATATGTTTATTATCATCAGAAACAAATCAAATAATTGATATTTATCATAGTTATGTTCGACCAACAATAAAAACAACTTTAAATGAAATATGTATGTCGATAACTGGTATAACTCAAACAATTGTTGATCAATCTCCAACATTTGATATTGTATGGAATGATGTTCAACAATTTTTATCTAAACATTCATTAATATCATTGACAGATGATTATTCAAATTGTCATAGTTTTACATGGATAACATGTGGCAATTGGGATTTACGAACAATGTTACCATTACAATTAAAACAATCTGCATTAGAACGACCTGAATTTATTGATCAATTTATTAATATAAAAGAATTATATATGGAATATTATCCAAATACTCGAATAAGAGGAATGAAAGATTTATTACAAAAATTAAATTTAAAATTAGAAGGACGACATCATTCAGGAATTGATGATACAAAAAATATAACTAAAATAGCACAATGGTTTATTGAAAATAAACAACCATTAAAATTAACATCGAAAAAAACCGAATAAAACACTAGTAAAAAATCTGAATAAGTTTCTTATCTATACTCATTATATTAAATAAACATTATCAATTCTTTGGAAATATCGAAAAATAAAATATATTAGGACAAAATTTACAACATAGTTTAAGAAATAAATCCCAATTATATAACTGATCATTTATTAATAAATATTAACAAAATTCAAAAAAAGAAATGATTTTATCGAAATATTTTAATAAGTTAGCTATCTTAAGATAAAATATGACGAAATTTTAGTATTTTCAAACTTCAATAAAAGAATAATCAATTTAATTTAATATATTGTGTAAAAAGATTTAAAAATAAACATATTTTTAATTAATTATTTTATTAAATAAATAAATATTGACCATATAACATTTATATCAACAATGTATTTCCATATTAATTAATCTACGGTCGTGGACAAAAGTCCCGCAGCTAGGCAAAAACTATCTAGATGAAG